GTGCGGATAAATGCGTACATCTGCCAAAAAGCAAGGCGAAAACTGGCAGGCAAGCAGGGGAGTGCATGGCATGAGAAAGAATAAAGACAAAGGAAAGAGGCTCAGCAGAAGGCAGACAATTTACATGGCAGGGGAAGCAGGATTTTGGTGATTGTATTCTGTAATCCTCTGGGTTAGATATTTGGAAACAGTTTTAGGATCAAAATGCAGACACAAAAATCTTTTAGTCTCCAGCATTTACAATGCAATTTTTTTCTGAACAGTGGGGACAGGGTGTAGATTTTTATTTGCTTGTATAATTCGCCTGGAATATTTCAAACACCTGTTTTCTTCTTGCCAGGCTCTACTGCCCTCTTCTGGGAATGAGCAGAATATATATATAAAAAAAGAAATCTCCACCTGTTTTCCTTGTGAAGGGTCTTCCATCCAATTCAAAGGCAAATGTTTTCTAGGAGGTGAGGTCAATGCAAGTGTTACGCAAGATGACAATCTCCACAGCTTAACATACAGAAAGAAAACTGTCTGGTCAATGGCATTCATATGCAAAAGTCATCTCACCTCTGATACTGACTTCTGACAAACCATTAACTAATCATGCATCCTGTTGGATTTCTAATTATATGAAATATAATTAGCATTGAAGTGATGGTCCTCTGCCATGAACTCCACTGGACCAGCCACGTTGTCTGAATGCCCAACCACTGTCTCGCAAATCAGTTGCTGTACTCCGAACTCAAGAACGAAAAAAAAATGTTGGTGGGCAGGAAAAGAGATTTAAAGATGGGCTCAAAGCCAATCTTTAAAACTGTGGCATTGACACTGAAAACTGGGAAGCCCTGGCCCTTGAGAGCTCTAGCTGGAAGTCAGCTGTGACCAGCAGTGCTGTAGAATTTGAAGAGGCATGAGTTGAAGGCGAAAGAGAGAAGCGTGCCAAGAGGAAGGCATATCAAGCCAACCCCAACCGGGACCACCTTCCACCTGGAAACTGATGCCCTCACTGAGGGAGAACATGCAGGTCAAGAATAGGGTTCCACAGTCACCTACGTACCCAACGCCAGTACACCCAACTTTGAGGACAATCTTACTCAGACAACTAGGGATTGCCTAAGCAAGTAAGTATATGAAATAGGGACTGGTTCACCTCTCAGGTAAGGCTGTTATAAGGTCTGGAACACAAGAAGAAAAATATAAAGGGTCTATGATTAGAGAAGAGAATTGTTTCCTGTCTTCCTTAATAGTTCCTCCATGGACAGCCATGACACAGTGTTTACATTAGACAGATCTCTGCCACCAGTACCCATATACTGGGAGCTCTCCTGGATTCACCACTGAGCCTAGAACCCCAAGTCTCCGCGGAGGCCAGAGGAACTTTTGCACAACTAAAACTTGTGCGCCAATTGCGCCTGTACCTTGGGAAGTCATACTTGGCCATGGTGGTACACACTCTTATTACATCTCATATAGGTTACTACAACACGCTCTATGTGGGGTTGCCTTTGAAGACTGTTTGGAATTTTCAAATGGTCCAACGGGCGGCAGACAGGTTTCTAACTGGAGCGGCATATAGGAAGCATACAACTCCCCTGTTACGCCAGCTCCTTTGGCTGCCAATCTGCTACTGAGCACAATTCAAAGTGCTGGCTTTGTTCTATAAAGCCCTAAATAGTTTTGGCCCAGATTACCTGTCCAAATGTATCTCCCTCTACGATCCACCATGGAGGTTAAGATCTTCTGGGGAGGCCCTGCTCTCAGTCCAGCCTTCTTCGCAGGCACGTTTGGCAGGGACGAGAGACAAGGCCTTCTCAGTGGTAGCCCCTCGGCTATGGAACTCCCTCCCCAGCAGCCCCTCCCCTCCTGACCTTTAGGAAGAAAGTTAAAACCTGGTTATGGGACCAAGCTTTTGGCTAACAAGCTAGTGCAATATGAGTATACAGAACTGTAAAATGACTAATGGGATGGCCTTGGATTTTACTCTGGATAATGTGATTTTAATCATTGTTTTAATGTTGTGGTTGATTTTTTTTTGTTTTAATTGATATGTTTATTTTACTGTATCTATGTATGTATACGGCATCGATTTGCTGCCTTTCTGTGAGGCCACTCTGAGTCCCCCTGTTGGGGTGAGAAGGTGAGAAGGGTGGGATATAAATGTAGTAAATAAAGAAATAAAAATATATTTTAAGGATATCTATACAGCTCAGAGCTTCCCTTCCTATGCCAAACCATCATAATCATCATCATTATTATTTATATCCTGCTTTAAAGTAAACCATGTTCTACTCTAGTGCATTATGGGAACAGGGGCATGCTTGTCTGCAGTCACAGCATCTGCTTTCCTTTCGTGATCCTCTGCTAAATCTCAATACTTTCTTCAGTCCCTCCCTCTTTCTTTCTTTGTGTCTGTGAGTGACTAATGAAGGAAGTGCATATTGAGTTTCAGTGGATCAAGAAAGAATAGTAGATGCTGTGAGGGCAGAAATTGCCAATGAGGAGCCCTCCATTGCTATAATGAGTTTGGTTTAACATATGCAGGGAAGTTTTAATGAGGTGTAGCTATGTTTTGTTGTTGTTTATTCATTCAGTCATTTCCAATTCTTCTTGACCTCATGGACCAACCCATGCCGGAGCTCCCTGTCAGCCATGTCAACCCCCATTTCCTTCAAAGTCAAGCCAGTCACTTCAAGGATAACATCCATCCATCTCGCCCTTGGTTGGCTCCTCTTCCTTTTTCCTTCCATTTCCCCCAGCATCATTGTCTTCTCCAAGCTATCCTATCTTTTCATTATGTACTTCATCTTGGCCTCTAATATCCTTCCCTCCAGTGAGCAGTCGGGCTTTATTTCCTGGAGTATGGACTGGTTGGATCTTCTCACAGTCCAATTTTTTCCCAGCTATGTAGGATGATGATAATAAGAAGAATAAGAATACAGGGCACTTCCTACCTAAATAGGTATTCTGTTCCCCTAAAATGACTTTTTTTATTTCTGTGCCCAAATTTCTAGCATTGGAGTAGTATAACACTTTAGTTGGGCATTTGGAAAATTTGGAAAATTCAGTTTGAGCATTCAAACAAAAGAGAGAGGTAAAGTTACCAAGGGACTGAGAACAAAACAAATAATGTAAGAGTTGTAGGAATGACTGGTTTTTCAGTCTTCTTACTGCTAGAAATTGGGGGTCAAAGGTGGAGCAGAATTTTTATGGGGGTGCAATGCCCTCATCCCCACTTCTGCCATAACTACAAGCTGAGCTTTTAACTACTTAGATATCTTTCAGACATAGGCTCTCTGAGGAATGGCAGCTTTCCAGAGTTGACAGTGGCACGCACATAAGGGATGTATGTGAAAACAAGAGTACACATGATATCGAGACATACTTGCAAAGATAAAATCCATTTCAAGGTTTACAGTCTGTGGCATATTATTCAGTGTCTGGGGACAACTTGCCTGATTTGAGATGGGAATAGTACTGTTGTGTAGTGGTCTTAGTGTTGGACTGTAACTCTGGAGATGGGGTTGAATACCCGCTCAGCCAGGAAATCCCACAGGGTGACTTTGGGTGAGTTGCACACTCTCAGCCTTAGGAAACACTATGATAGATTTGCCTTAGGGTCACCATAAGACATAAAGGAACATAACAAGAAAAAGAGGGGGGAGGAGGCGGCAAGGCTCTAGCAGAAGGACCTGATGATGTAGATAAGCTGGATTCACTTTCTATGAGATTGATTCCCCTGCCTTATCTATGTCATTATCTGCCTTATCACATGGGGTAGAATGAGTGTCCTAGGATGATTCTGCCCTGGTTCATCAATGGAGCCCCACACTGCCCATCAACGACTTAGGATGACTTCCGGTGCGGCTCCATGGGCAAATTGGGGCAGCAACATGGTGGGACACATGGTGCCGCTGCCCACATGGAAGCCACCCTGTGTTCAACGGAACAACGGGGCTTCAGCGGAGCAGCAATGCTTCCCCACATGGGATAGGAAAACATCAGCTGGCAGCTGGGGCACCAGGATTGCCCTGATGCTGCCATGATTTGCCATGGAGGCTGATGAATCACAACGTTGGACCACATCAATGTGATGAGGTCCCTAATTCCTGAAGAAGGGGGAACACGTAAAAAGATCCAGAGTGAGGTGGAAGGTAAAGAAGGGTAAAATAAGGAATGGACCCTAAAAGGTGACATCTTGAATTTGTATTGCTTCCATCAACTATTCAAGATCTTGCAATTCTAATTTTCCAGTCTGCCACATTGATGGGAAAAAGGTGAATTATTTGCATGAGAACACTTTTAGAATATTCTATATTTTATGTTTTTCATATTTTAATTATTTATATATGTCCGTAATACCATTTTGGGAAGGAATTTGAAGTGATGGGAAATTAGAAGTTACAAGAAACAATTTATGTATTTATATCCCACCTTTTTGTTTAATGTCCAGTTTATACACATAGCCTAAAGATAATTTTATGCAAAATATTAATAATAATTTATGTATGGAACAAAGTTTATGTACACTGAACCATTGGAAAGCAAAAGTGTCACTATCTCAGTCTCCATGTGAATGATTTTGGAATATTTCAAATTTTGGGATTTTGCATAAGGGATGTCCAACCTATATTTCTCCTATAATTACGGGTATTCCTGTTTGTTAGTGGCCCTTCAAGGATGAGTTTATGATCACTGGCAACACCATGTTTTTCCAGCTACCAAATGAACACAATACTCCAAGAGCTAAAAAAGTGGCTTACCTTTGCATTGATGTCAAGGCTCTTTAATGTTACTCTACTGGAATAACGCCATAATAGACAAGACAATCTGAGCCTTTGCTCCCAGGTGATGCCTTTTAGGCTATTGCAGGGGAAAGTGTGCAATTGACCCTCCTAGGTGGCACTCAAGCACTGCACTTATAATTGAACCACTGGTATTTAGGAATCAACTCACAGTGGTGTTCCTCTGCCTCACTATACTTGACACAGGCGGCATCCAGACAAGCACACTCAATCCTTCCTTTTTATTTGCAGAGATTTCACCTCCCCAAAGATTTCAGGAACTCCAGGGAAATAATTCTATGTCCTTTTAATGCCCAGCTTAGGAGACAGTCTAAGGAGAAATAGACATTGTAGCTATACCGCCCAGATATCTCTAGATGGAGGGCTGGTTATGAGTATTTTAGTTAGCATAGCAACAAATAAATGTGTAAGCTCTTTGAGATATAAAGTGCTAGTTTATGTGCTACAAAAATGTTTAAAAGCAATGGTTTTCGGTTGGAAAGATTAGCCGTTTGCAATAAACATTGCCCAGGGAATGCCCGACTGTATTTATTCAGTCTTCAAGGAGGCTCTTTCCGTGTCCCTAACAACATAAGCAAAAGACTTTGAAACAGACTAAAACCAACTTACTAATGGGTTGCTGTAAGTTGTGAGGATGCCTGCCACAGATGCAGGTGAAAGGAGATAATGCTTCTGGAATATGGCCATACAACCTGAAAAACTTACAGCACCCAGTGATTCCGGCCATGAAAGCCTTTGACAATACAACTTACTAATTCCCTGAAAAAATCTCTCCAGCTACTGCAAAGATAACTACCTGAAGCCTAACCCTTCCAAGGCACAAGTGTGTGCTTTCCACTTACATAATAATGAAGTCAACAGAAAATTGAAAGTTACTTGGTAAGGCCAAGGGCTTGAACACGGTTTCCATCCTAAATATCTCGGTGTCACCTTAGATCAAACAATAACATTTAGGAAACACTGTATGAACACCAAGCACAAAGTAGCTGTATACAATATCATCCTGCAGAAACTTACTGTCATCACATGGGGTGCAGACCCAAATTAATAAGAACATCAGTCTTGGCCTTGTGTTACTAAATTGCTAAGTATGCCTTCCCTGTTTGGCACCAGTCTGTCCATGTGAAGCAGGCGAATATAACACTGAACAAAATATGCAGAATAATCACAGGATGTCTCAAACCTATACCTGTTGATAAACTCTACAAGCTAGCTGGCATGCCCCCCCCCCACCCATGTGCAATGGGAAGTTGCTGCTAACTGTAAGAGAAATAAGGTTGAACACTGTGAAAGCCATCCATTGTATGGCTATCAGCCTCCTCCCAGTAGACTCAAATCAAGGAAAAGCTTCATGAGAACCATCACTCTTCTTAGTGTTCCCCCAGCAACAGCAAGAGCATCCCTTTGGGCAGCTAAACCAGGAAATCCCAATTGGATGGTCCCCCATGAGGATCTTCCTCCAGGGGCAAACTAAGAATGAGCAACTTGGAAGTCCCTGAACAGACTCCAAAGTAGAGTCACTGACCTGTAACTGACAATGCGGTCGTTGTTGCCTGTTTTCAGTCAAAAATGATTTAGCTGTGTGTGCTTCCTCTATTTCATCATTTTTATACTTATTTATGCAATGCTTTTGACACAAAATAAGTAAGTGTGCTACAAAAGATCATAGAATCAATTTGCTGTTCTATCTCTTTGATGCCCCCTGGTGGTGCAGTGGGTTAAACCGCTGAGCTGCTGAACTTGCTGACAGAAAGGTTGGCAGTTCAAATCCGAGGAGCGGGGTGAGCTCTCACTGTTAGCCCCAGCTTCTGCCAACCCAGCAGTTCGAAACTATGCAAATGTGAGTACATCAATAGGTACCACTTCTGCGGGAAGGTAACAGCGCTCCATGCAGTCATGCTGGCCATATGATCTTGGAGGTGTCTATGGACAATGCCAGCTCTTTGGCTTAGAAATGGAAATGAGCATCACCACCACCACCACCACCCCGAGTCATACATGACTAGAATTAATGTCAGGAGAAACCAAACCTTTACCTTTCACCTATCTCTTTGAGTTGTTTCTGAATTATGATAATGCTAAGGTGAGTCTATCACAAGGTTTTCTTGGCAACGTTTATTCAAAGAGGATTTGCTATTGCCTTTCTCTGAGGTTGGGAGTATATGACCTGCCCAGGATCACCCAGTGGCTATGCAGGAATTCAAACCCTGGTCTCCCAAAGGTCTTAACTGAATGCTCAAACTACTCAACTATACTGGTTGTCTCTTTAGAAAAAATGCTGATCCTTTCCTTTGGCAATGATGTTATTCATTCTGGTTATGAAGATATGCCTTTGAGATTCTTCACTGGTACCGACTGAGCTGCGAGATATTATGAAGAGGATGATGAAGAAGAGGATGAAGTTTTATAAAGCAGCCACCTGGTATATTGTCAGAATCTAGAACACATGTCAAACTCAAGGACTGCAACTCCTGTATTCCTCGTCTTTAGACATAATGACTGGAGCTGGTGGGAGTTGTAATACAGTAATACCTGAAAAGCTGCAGTTTGTTCTATTTAGTCGGGATAGTAGATTTATATATAAGGATTGTGGATATGATGTCTGACTTTAAAATGTCCTTCAATCTTTCCCCAACCTGAGAGCCACAAGTGCTGTTGGGTTGCAATTTCCATTATTCCCAGTCCATATGGATAATCACAAGTGATGCAAGTTCTCATTCAATAACATCTGGGGACCCAAATTGGGGGCCCTTCCACACTACCCCTATATTCCAGGATCTTTTAGCCCAGATTATCTGACTCATATAATCCAGTTTAAAGCAGACAACCTGGGATCAGATCCTAGGACATAGGGCAGTGTAGAAGGGACCTGGGTAAAAACTAAAGAGCACAATATGTGAAAAATATTATAATTGGCCCTCTGTCTATGGATTCTTTGTCCATGAATTCAATGGGCCTTTGAAGGCAACCATAAGGCTGACATGGCCCATGATAAAAAAAAAAACAAAACGAATTTGACATGCTTGATCTAGGAGATCAACTTGGCAATTCATCTCTCCCTGAGGTTTTTAAAAACTTTTAAAAAAATAATATGAGTTCACCACATTTTGGAATCTTTGGGTTGTTTTAGGTCCATAACAGTTGAAAAAATCAAAACAGGAAATTATTTTCTAGTGCTCTTCCTGTTCTTAAAAAAAGACTCTCCTGGGCCCAAAATATCCCCAAATCTCCAAACATGGCAAAGGTATGCTCCAAAATTTAGAGGCTGAGTGGCATTTCTCAATGCTCAGAATACTTAATATGTATCCTCTTGCTAAAATTGTAACAACCTTATATAGCAAACCCAGTGTTATTTTTCTCATACCTCAGAAAAACCAAGGATAGAAAAAATTAGCTTTTGTGAGTGTTATCAAGAAATCAGCTTCCCAAGAGTACGAATCATACAAAGTATATGAATTTGGAGCCATGGGTCCAGTGGAAAATATAGCCAGCCACATGGTGATTTCTAATTGCCCCCAAAAGTAAGATTTCTATCAATGTTCTTGGAAATCCCCCAGAACATGAACTTACCTCACCCTTGCATCACCCTCACCCAGAGAAAATCACCATAATCCAGTTTCCTTTATCTTTCTGGCATGCTATGATCTAGGCTAGCCCTGGAACATTGCCTCATCTATAGCACCTATCCAAGCTCACTCTATGAATCATTCATTGTAAGTATATTTTAAGCATCTTTTGCCCATTGGCCAGCGCCTCCATTGTCTAGCTGGCATTGGATCACCAGAATTCATCAACCACCCATCAAACTGCACTCCACCGAAACACACCAGTTTCTGGGAAGGACTCACAATGGAAACAAGACTTCAAATCCACAAATGACAGTTTATTAAATTTCCTTCCTTGCTTCTGATTGACCCTGTAACAGAAGCAGACTCACACCTCCTCCAATGAGGCTGCAGATCCTAGCTGGAACCCTCCAGGACCAATGGGAAACCAGTGTGGCAATTTTAATTGTTCTGTACTGATTCTTCTCTGTGTCAAATGTAAGATAAATAAACCCATGTGTTTACAGTTGGGGTATGTCAGTATTTTGGAGTGTTTTCTTTGCTGGCATCCTCTTTGGTCACAGAATAAATCTCTGTTTTTGCCTTCAGCCCCTTCTATGTCTGACTTGTCCTTCTGGATTACCAGGACACTGGATCCCCAAACCCACGATTTTAGCAGAGCTGAAATCACACAACATGAGGTCACCTACTGAGATCATAGCAAATGAGATGTGAACAAGGGATTTCCTGATTTGTGACTTCATTACATAGATACTGCATCACCTGTTGCAGAATGGCATACCCACCAGCTTTTCACAGATGAAAACTGGATTACATATGGGTTAGCATCATCAGATATGATCTAGGTAACAAAATGTTATTAATGAAGAATATGCAAACTAGGAGAGGATGCAGCAGTTTGCTGTTGCCTGAGTTTAGCAGAATGAGCAAAATTCTACCCCTCTTCTCCTCTTCCTTCTAGTGTAAACTACTTTTGAAGCAGCTGAAGTAAGTGGAGGACCAAGGGGAAATGGGGAGGAGGGGAAAGAAACTGAGAAAATTTAATATCAGCATAAGAAACTAATCCCTAATTCCATACAGCCAAGTATAATTTCAGGATAGCATTGCGCATTAAATCCACCCCTCTTTTTCTCCTCTTTTTGTCTTAGGATGAAGGAAAGAAAGACTTCTTCCCCATTCTCACCAGGCTAGCCTTCACCTCTTTATTCCTCAGGCTGTAGATAATCGGGTTTAACATGGGTGTGACAATGCAATATAGTGAGGAAACCAAAGTATCAATATCCAGGGAGTACCCTGAACTGGGCCTGTTATAATTGAAGTTGGCAGTTCCATAGAATATGACAACAACGATCAAATGAGAAGTACAGGTGGAGAATGCTTTGGCTCTACCCCTGGCAGAACTGATCTGAAGGACTGCACTGATGATGCGGACATAGGAGACCAGAGTGAAGAGGCAGGGACTGAGTCCTATCAAGGCACTGGCGAGATGGAGCACAGCTTCATTGACTGATGTGTCTGAGCAGGAGAGCTTCAGCAGCAAAGGGACATCACAGAAGAAGTGGCTGAGCTCATTGGACTTGCAGATGTTCAAAGACTGTGTGAGAAGAGTGTGCACCAGTGAATTTGTCAAGCCACAGAACCAGGAGAATGCCGCCATTTTCATGCAAGCTCTTTTGCTCATGATGCTAGAATAATGCAAGGGGCTACAGATGGCCACGTATCGGTCATACGCCATGACAGCCAGCAGCACACATTCTGTTCCTGCACAAGTAATGAGGAAGAACAGCTGGACAATGCATCCAACATATGAGATTGTTTTTCTCGCTCGGAAGAAATTAACCAGCATAACAGGGACTGTGGTAGAGGAGTAACAAATATCTATAAATGAGAGATTGCTTAGGAAATAGTACATAGGTGTGTGAAGGGTCAAATCAGTTCTGATCACGATTAGTATTAAAGTATTTCCCACCAGGGTAATCGCGTAGATTGTTAAGAATATTAAAAAGAATAGAACCTGGAGATCAGGATGGTTTGAAAAGCCCAGGAAAATGAATTCCTCTATGAATGTTTGGTTTTCCATTTGCCAAAAAGAAGGAAATAACGTCTCAAAGAAAGACAAATAGTCAATGTGCACAGAATACTCAGAATACACAGCCAAACAATTAGCAAAAAGTTGTGGCACAAATGTGTTCAAAGCGAGTGAATCTCAAGTAGTATATTGTTACAGATTTAACTCCACAATTATTAATTAATTGAGGGTACACTAAAAAGAAAAGAAGATTGGGTCTTTAGCAGCCGATCATCCCTGTGACAATAGAGAGAAAGAGAAACCATGGTTAATGTGGGGAAGACAAGGAACAAAAGATGGGTTAATGCAATAAAGCCATGTTGATGAACTATCAGTTAAAAATTCCAATTGTCATAAATACTCTTGATCTTTTCTGTAACCCCGGCATTTGTATAACTTCTGAAAATGTTCCAGTTTTGCTATATTCTCCAATTATTTGTAATTACTTATTGGAAATATATCCTACTTTTCTCTCCATAATGGACTTACAAAAAGTGGCTTACTATAAGATGTAACAAAAAATACAATTACAAAATCAAATAATGCAGCACAATTAAATTTAAAGCCTTGCTTGAATTTAATTTTTTATTATTATTTAAGAAAAAACAGTAATCTACATTAACAAACAAAGCACACTACATACAAAACAGTGACATACATAGTAGACAACACATTCCCTCCATCCTCCCACCCATGTACCCACCACTGTGGACTTCCATCCTTGCTCACTATGATATCTATACCTTATAATAGGTTCCCTAAATAGTTTGCTTTGCGGCATCATTAAAGTCCACTTTTGCCTCCTCTCCAAGATATGTGAAGGCCAGCTGCCATTTATTTGCAAATTCTTCATTACTTTTTAACTCCAAGTCCATTAGAAAATTTAAAGCATTTCTTAACCATTTAAACATAATTACTTGAAAACACAACACACGTGCACAGAAGTAGACACTGCCTGAAGACACATCTATTATCTCTGAAGTTAATTTCAGAAATCTGGTGATCAAATTTTCCCAAAGTCCCAAAATAAATTCGAGTCGGTGCATATATTATCCCGGTGAATACTCTTTTGATCCTCAATGTACATCTACAAAACCATCTTAAAAACTGCTTAAATGTAGAAGATTAACCAGATTTGAAAAAAAGTTAAGACATGGCTTTTTGAGCAAGCATTTGCAAATGCAGAGTAACTGACATAGGAATATAGAATAACTAGACAATGGAACCAGACAATGTTTTTAACAAGGAGACACTAATGACTTATGCTTTTATTTATGTTGTTATGGTTTTTATTATTATATGTTCATATTTTTAATTGTATTTATGGTATTGTGAGCATTGAATTTTGCACTGTAAACCGCCTTGAGTTGCCTGTGGACTGAGAAAGGCGGTATACAAATACAGTAAATCAATAAATGATAAATAAATTTAATATCCATGTCTTGTTTATTCTTGTGGTTTCAGTAGCCTAATTATTCTATCTCCTTGTCTAGCAAAGTTTGGGCCATTAGTAGAAGTATATTCATTCTGATATTTTGCTAATAAATAGCATTTTTGATGTCCTTGTAATTATTATTATTATTATTATTAGTGATACTTTCAAAGTTGAATTTCTGAAATGTGTTTTTATCTGAATTGTGTCAGCTTTGTTTGTTTTGTTCTTTGCTTCCCCTTTCCCCCAAAACTGCCATTTTTGCTGTCATAATATAACCCATGTGCGGGGCTTGATGAATGCAAAGCTGGGGTGAAAATTGCTGGAAGAAACATTAACAACCTCAGATATGCAGATGACACCACTCTGATGGCCGAAAGCGAGGAGGAGCTGAGGAGCCTTCTAATCAAGGTGAAAGAAGAAAGCTCAAAAGCTGGGTTGCAGCTAAACATCAAAAAAACCAAGATCATGGCAACAAGAATGATTGACAACTGGAAAATAGAGGGAGAAAATGTGGAGGCCGTGACAGACTTTGTATTTCTAGGTGCAAAGATTACTGCAGATGCAGACTGTGGCCAGGAAATCAGAAGCTTACTTCTTGGGAGGAGAGCAATGTCCAATCTCGATAAAATACTGAGGAGTAGAGACATCCCACTGGCAACCAAGATCCACATAGTTAAAGCAATGGTATTCCCCGTAGTAACCTACAGATGTGAGAGCTGGACCTTAGGGAAGGCTGAGCGAAGGAAGAGAGATGCTTTTGAGCTGTGGTGTTTGAGGAAAGTTCTGAGAGTGCCTTGGACTGCGAGAAGATCCAACCAGTCCATCCTCCAGGAAATAAAGCCCGACTGCTCACTGGAGGGAAGGACTAGAGACAAAGTTGAAGTACTTTGGCCACATCATGAGGAGACAGCAAAGCCTGGAGAAGACAATTATGCTGGGGAAAGTGGAAGGTAAAAGGAAGAGGGGCCAACCAAGGGCAAGATGGATGGATGGCATCCTTGAAGTGACTGGACTGACCTTGAAGGAGCTGGGGGTGGTGACGGCTGACAGGGAGCTCTGGCGTGGGCTGGTCCGTGAGGTCACAAAGAGTCGGAGACGACTGAACGAATAAACAACAATATAACCCATAGTTCTATGCAGTGCTATGACTTTCTTTAGAAAAATGAAAGTTACAGACATATTTTCTTATTATAGTGGTAGCTGATGATTCTGCGCATGTAACCTAGTGATTCAATCAGTACAGAATTCTGTTTAATATATTGCAACAAGTTATTCGTTATGCTTATGAGAAAGATCTACAACACTGCCAAGATCTTCCTTTCCTTCTCTTCTTTTTCTCCATGCTGCAGAAATATAGAAATTATGCGCTTGGCACAGAGGCATTTTTTTTTTTTACATTATTCTTACACTTTCCTGAGATTTAAGGAAAGGGTACCTCACCCACCCAAATGGAAGAAACCTTGCCATTTTATGCTTCGGAGCCATCTTATTAACTTTGTTTATTCTAGAAAACCTTATTGGCACAAAGAGCATTATAATCATCATGTGATTTTGAAATTGTTATGACATTCATCAAATGTATAATGACAATGTTTTGCCATTTTGCAAAGCCTGAATTAGATTCTACCTTATCTTGGAAGCTAAGCAGGGCCAGTCCTTGGAAGATAGACTTCCAGGAGCTGTAGGGCATATTTTTGAGGAAGCCAATGCCAAACTGGCTTGCCTAAGAAAACCTAATGAATCACCATAAATTGTAATCAGCTCGAAGGCACATGGCAACAACAATGTTGTGATTACATTGAAAACACAATCTATATAAAGAAAAATGTAAATGTCCATTTGTGAATGACCTCAAATCTCCCAAAATATTTCACTGATTGCTTCCAGATTTGGATACAACATAGCATTTGAACAGGCAAATGTTTTTATATATTCACATACCTACTATTATATAGTCACCTGTGGCAGGTAAAAATATGCTTGGCATCAAAAACAACAACATCTGCTGGGCGTCCAAGCAACACATCATGAAGCGACCCCGTCAGGGCCGGAGCCACCATTAGGGATCCACGGACTGGTCACTCTCCGCCCCCCCCCCCCCCCCCCCCCCCCCCCCCCCCCCAAGCTAGCCTGCCTGCCTGTCTCCCTCCAGAGCAGACCCAGGAGAAGAAGAGCGGCAAAAGGGTGGAGGGAGCAGGTAGGGAAATCCAGACAGGGCATGGGCTCAGGAGAGGGAGGGGATGTGACAGGCATGGAGGCCAAGCTCTGGGCTCCCATAGCTTCATGCCCTGCCTGGTCTTGCCCTGCCTGGTCTTGCCCTGCACCGCCTCATGACTGCGCCTCCAGGAAAACTGGATGCTCAGAAGGAAGGAAGGATTTAATGGTAGGAAGGGAGAGATAGATAGGAGGGATTGGGGCTTCCTAAAACTCACTGATCATTGTTATACAAACCAGAATACTTGATACTACTATCATTATTGTATGCACCGGTATTATTATTATATAGATTATATAGGTCAGCATTATTATTTACACATTTGTGATTATTATTTCACAATGGAACATTATACCCACAGACATTATGAAATTACATATATTAGAAACCTGCTCTTTCCATTTTCTTTCTTTTCCGTTTAACCAAACAGAGCCACAGCAACACATGGCTAGGTTCAGCTAGTATCTAATAACATTCTGAAATGCACTTGCCGTTTAGGGAATACCTCAGAAAATGCAGCCCTGGTCTGACCAAGATACACTCACCCACTTATAAGCTACTACTGCAGTTTCTTTTTTGCAGCAAAGGACAAAGCTGGCCCTGACATTAGGCAAGTTGAGGAAGCACTTTTCAAGGCGCTTTCCATACAAACAAATGAAATACGTACTTACCTCATATTAGCCACTAATCTGACACAATGGCGATGTGCATTCCAAACAGTTCTTTGGTCCTTAAACTTTAAAAAGGTTTTCCTTTTACTCCATATTCTGGAGAAAGAATTCATATGAGTTCTGGAGCTTTTTTTATGTGTAGCTGCCTTAAACAGGTGGCTTTGTACTGGATCTAGTGGAGGAGTTAAGGGTGGCCCAAACTGGTTGAGGGAAATGACATGGGTCAGTCAGAGAACTTATTATTCCCACCGGGAAGTGGGCTTGGTTGCTGTTGAATTTCTAATTTTTAATTTGCAGCTGATATTTGTTGAAGGAATGGATACATAGATAATCACAAGTGAGTATACTAGTATATAAGTATTAGTGCACTTCTGTATAATAGGATGGTTAAAGACACCTTAGGGCAGTGGTTCTCAATTTGTGGGTCCCCAGATGTTTTGGCCTTCAACTGCCAGAAATCCTAACAGCTACTATAGTGGCTGGGATTTCTGGAAGTTGTAGGCCAAAATATCCCGGGACCCACAGGTTAAGAACCTGTGCCTTAGGGGGAAATACATATATTTGGAGGGAAATGCATGGAGTCATAAATGCTTGACTGGAAGGAGAAAAAAAGTGAAGTGGCTATAGACACATTCTGAGTACCCTGAATAGATGGAAAATAGCTGTATTACTTATGCGTATTAACTGCTGG